TACTCTACTCTACTCTACTCTACTCTACTCTACTCTACTCTACTCTATTCCTATTGTATTCTATTGTATTCTGTTCTATTCTATTCTATTCTGTTCTGTTCTATTCTATTCTATGAGCTGTATTCGAGAATTGGAAATTGATTAGGATATTGTTTTCTGCTTGATTGTTTGTCTTTTGTACTTTACCATTGCTTACTTGAATATTAGTTTAAAAAGAAACCATATATGAATCTTAACTGTGTTCTGTGTTTTAGGAAAATCTTGCTGAAACACTAACCAAAGACTCTTAGGTTAATATCTTATATCTTAAGATATAAGATTCATATTATAAAGATTCAAGGCTTTGATTTTCATTCTGCACCATTCGTCCGCCTGTTGTCTGTCCAACATCTGAACTTAAGAGTATCCAAAAATGCTCGACCTTTTTTGGTCCAGAACATCTGGAGGATATCAAATGCAGCATGATAAACAAGGCACAAATCATAAAATCATTTATCCCAATGACCAAGCGTGACCGATGCAATCATGGAAGAATTTGTCTCCCCGGCCAAACCCCCAAGTAAGATCTGTGAGTGCTTTGCGAGGACAGAATAATAAAACTATGTGGAGGAAATTGGAAAACTGAAGGAAAAGAGGAAATGGAGGATTTCAAGGCATCCAACTTGTTGGAAATCTGAGGAGAAGCATTCTGCCATTTTCTCCCTTTGTATCTTTGAAGCGCTTCTCTACTCGCTGCGTTTTTTTAAAAAATTCTGTTTTCCCTCCTTGACAGAATATTTAACATCCACTCCAGATTTAATCTCCCAACGAGAGCCGTGGGGGCTCCAGCGCTCAGAGGAAAGGAAGAACCGAGAGAGCCGGAGTCTAGGAAAAGGACAAGTTGAACCCTCTCGGATCCTATCTGAGGGAGAATCTGAAGGCCACAAATCACCCACCGGCCCTGCTCCCCCTTACAATGGGACGAGATCCAGAAATGCTTGTGAGTTGTTCTTTTATCCTTCCAACCCACAGATGGGGCTTAACTATGTCTGGAATCTGGACTGCTTCACTTTAGGATGGGAAGGGGATGTCCGAAGCAAAGTCTTAACAGATTTAATTACAGTTGGAATTACAGTTGGAAGGGACCTTGTAGGTCATCTAGTCCAACCCCCCCGCCCAAGCGGGAGACCCTACACCAGGGGTCCCCAACCACCGGGCCCCGGACCGGTACCGGTCCGTGGAACATTTCCTACCGGGCCGCCGGTTTGCTGGGCGCCGCCATCTTGTTTTGATGAGAAAGTGCTTCCGGTGAGCTTTTCCGGTTGGAAAGCGGCGTTTGGGTCCTGAAGGAATCCTCGCGCCTTAGTTTCATCGAAGGGGGGGAGCTTCAAACGAAACTAAGGTGCGAGGATTCTTTCAGCACCCAAGGCAAGGCGAGCCGAGCGACTGTCCCGAAGCCCACCGACAAAGGTACAAAGGAGGAGTTGAAGGTGGCGGGGAGAAGCGGGGGACAGCTGGCTGGCCGGTCACTCGGCTCGCCTTGCCATGTGTGCTGATGCCGGTACCGGGCCGCGGATCATTTTGTGATGCCGGTACCGGGCCGTGGCACAAAAAAGGTTGGGGGCCACTGCGCCTACACCATTTCTGACAGATGGGAGTCCAATCTCTTCTTGAAAGTCTCAAGTGAGGATGCTCCCACAACTTCGTTGAGTCTGTTGCCAAGCCTTTGAATTTTGATTGCATGACCACAGGGATAGTGCAAGGGTCATAAGTGCGAAAAATGATCCTAAGTCACGTTTTTTTCAGGGTCGTTTGAACGGTTACCAAAGGAATGGTTGTAAGTCGAGGATTACCTGTAAGCTAGTAGCCCAGCTAAATCGCACTTTCCGAGCATTAAAAATAACCCACATCAGCACCAAGGCTGGTCATCTGAGTTTGAGAAAAGATCTATAGGGTGGGGATAGGGGGTGGGCTTCAAATATTTTAGCAAAGGGTTCTCTGCCCGGTTGCTGGGTGGGCGTGGCCATGGTGGGTGTGGCCTAGTTGGCCTCCTGCACCGTGACAGGAGGGGGGAGTTTTTGCCCTCCCTGGACTCCAGAGGCTTTCCTTGAGCCTCCCGGAGAGCGAAAACAGCCTCCCCAGGCTCCGGAGCCGTGGTGGTATTCAGCCAGTTCGCACCAGATTAGGCGAACCGGTAGCAAGAATTTGGCGTGGGTCGCCAAACCGGTAGTAAGTTCTGGCTGGCCACCCTCCCGCCCGATGCTCGCTCACCCCCCCCCCCCACCTGCCTGACATTCGCGTAAGGTATTTCTTTGTTTCCCTCCCGATAATCAGCTGTAGATAAGATCAGCTGTGCCGGGATTCCCCTTGCTGAGGCCCAGGAAGGCAAAAAATGTAGGGAGGAGCTCAGGCCCCCACCCTCCATTTTTTGCCTTCCAGAGCCCCAGAGGAGCCTTAGGGGAGCAAACCCCCCCCCCCCCCGGTTGAGGTAATTCCCCGTTAGGAGAATGAGCGCATACAGGGAGATGTATTTGAGAGGAGTGTTTGAATAATACACACAGAGCACACAGATGCACTGTACAGTAAATGTAGGCTTTTACTTCCAGAAAGTTTAAGCAAAGCTCAAAATAGGCAGTCCACAGTCATTCACAGATAAATCAGTCAGTTTTTCAATCCAGGGATAATCCAAATGTCAAATTCCAGTGTCAAAAAACAGTTCAGTATCAGACTTACATTAAATCCAGTAATATCAGTCAATTAGAAGAAATGGAGCAGCAGTAATACTTTCCAACAGGAGGAAACAGAGATACTCCCTCAGACACACTCTCTTCTGAGACTCAGACTAAAACAACCCAGGTTTCTGGCTCCATCTTATGGCTGTTTGAGAAACCACACCCAATTGCATGCTTTTGCAATCTCTAAAAGACATAGTACTAAAAGGTTTATCTTGGTTTATATATTTCTAACCCAAATAGCTGTTAGGTGACTCATATTCCTAACACCCCCCCGAGGCTCTTCTGATGCTAGGAAGCTCCCAAAACGGAGCTTGGAGGGGTGATGCGTGCCCCTCCCATGTTCTGTTCCTTTTCTTCCAGAGCCCCAGAGGAACCTTAGGGGAGCAAAAACCCAGAGGTTCCTCTGTGGCTAAGAAGCTCCCCAAAACGGGTGGGAGCTGCAAAAAAAAAAAAAAAAAAAAGGCACGCCCACCCAGTCACATGGCCACGCCCACCAAGCCACACCCACAGAACCGGTAGTAAAAGTTTTTGAATCCCACCACTGCTCATTTCCAGCCTTCTTGAACTTCCGGGAGTCCATTTTTCACCCTCCCTGAGCCTCCATGCACACCCTAAACTTACCTGCATGCAAAAAAACGGGCCGTGTAGGGACTTCAGGGAGGGGAGGGTCAGGGATTAGATCCGACCGGTATTAATTACCGGTTCTGCCGCTCTGCGTGAGTCGCGCGAGTGCGATTTACAGACCTGCTGAGCTGCCAGGAGTGCAGCGCGCAGGTGAGCAGCGGTTGGAAAAGCCCTTTTTTTTTCCCCTGCTTTTTCAACCGCAGCTGTGTCGCGCAAAGCAGCTGCGGTTGAAAAAGCAGGAAATAAAGGTCAGGTAACAGCCTTGGGCCCAAACAGCAGCAGACATAGAAGAACCGGTTCTATGTCTGCTCTCTGTCTGCTGCTCTTCAGAACTACAGAGGTGGACAGAACCGGTAGAATCCCACCCCTGGGCAGGGTGGGCGGGTCCAGCCAGGAATGGGATTTGGGGAATGCACAAAATCTTAGCTAGGGGCTCTCCTGAACCCCTGCGAACCCCCAGCAGCCCAGCCCTGGGTGGGGACCATCTGGGCCCCCAAGAGAGACATTTTTCGGCAGCTCAGGTGCTGCCACAGAAGGTGTGTCAGGCATTTTGGACCCGTTTTGGCTGGCAGGGTGCTGCAGGAGGCGTCCGCCCCCATCTCCTTCCCCCCCTTCCTCCAGCCGGTCCGCGGTGGAGAACTAAAATGGCGATCCGGCCCTCAAAGAAATCCACTTTGGCACCCCTGCTCTACAGGATGGCATCGCTTCATAGGAAGGACCCCTTGCTTGGCCTCTGCTCCATTTGGTGACTCGAGCAGAAACACGGCTGGGAGAAAGTCCGTCCTCGACTTACACCCGTTCATTTAGTGACCGTTCAAAGTTGTGACAACGGCACTGAAAACGGTGTGACCGTTTTTTCACGGTTACAACCCTCGCAGCCATCCCCATGATCATGGGATCAAAATTCAGATGCTTGGCAACCGTTTCATACATACGACCGTTGCCGTGTTCAGATGCGGCAAATTCAGATGCTTGGCAAATTCAGATGCTTGGCAACCGTTTCATGACTTACGACCGTCGCCGCGTCCCCCGGGGCCACGGGATCGCCTTTGCCCATCTTCTGACAAGCATTAAGTCAGCACGGAAGCCAGGTTCCCTTTACAACCGTGTACAACCAATTTAACAAGCACAGTGATTCGTTTAACAACGGTGGCAAGAAAAGTCGCAAAAGTGGGGGCGAGGCAAAACTCACTTAACGCATTTCTCATTTAGCAACATGAATTTTGGGTTCAGTTATGGTTGTAAGCCGAGGACTACCTGTAATCTGCATATACAAAAAAGTGAAATACCACTCACACATCATCACAAAAATCTCCAGAACCGTAAAAGCCTACAAACTTGACATTTGGCACGTATGTTCCTCTTGGCTTCTAGGTGCTCACTAAGAAAGGATTTTTCAAAATGACTATCTTTTGGGGTTAGCCGGCAGCAGGTGCGGATGGCTGAGGAGAGCGAGGACTCAGATGAGGGACCAGGACCATTAGGGAGTGCACTGCTGCCTTCAGAGATTGTGGGGGCTGGCAGCAGCAGTGAGGAGGTTCCCGAGGAGCCTGTGCCAAGTGCGCGTGCGCGCAGGGCTGCTGGCAGGAAAGAGCAGCTGCAGCAGCATGGGTGACACAGGAGTAAGGCTGCAAGGCTTCTTCCTTCAAAAGGATAAAAGCCAGCTGTGAAACGAACGTTCTTTGCAGAAGGCAAAGACGTTTTGAAACTCCAGCCTCGTGGACATTCCAGTATCTTAGTTGGTATTTGAAAAGTCACGTGTTGTGAAATATTTCTTATCTGTGATTCTTGGCAGTCTCGCACAGTTTCGGCGAGGCTTGTGTTTATCAAAGTTACTTAGTTTGCAGCAGCCTTTTGACCGGGGATTCGTAAGAATCATTAAAAGGTTTCTGTTCATGTTTGTTTTATTGGAAAAGGGTTTGGGTCAGAATACCATCAGAGCATTATCAGAGCATTCATTAGTATTATTATTATTAACATGCTCTGATGCTAAGGAGTTCTACTCCCCCTACCCACCTGAAAAGAAATATGTTCCAACTGCAGTTGAGCTAAGCCACGCCCAGGCTCCTTGCTGTCTCCTTCTTGCTCACACAGCAAATACTGTTTCAGTTTCCAAAGAGCCCTCAACTCTCTCACACACTGACAGGACGCTAGCCAGATGAATACCGATGGATGCTGGTAGGCAGAAGCAGATTTTTTTCCCCCCTAATTTTCCTCCCCAAAAACTTGCCCGATCACATAGTTTCGTAGTGAAGCACATGTACCCTGCTAGTGGACAATAAGTTCTTAGTTGAGACTATCCATCCCTTCAAGATGTTTGAACGTCTGAATGTTCTTCCTTACTAGGTGACAACGTGACGGACGAAAACTTGGCAGAAAATCAACCACAGGGTGGCCTTGCGATAGGAGAAGGCGGTGGTGTGTTACCACACGGCTCTAAAAGAGATGGTTCCCTGCAGCCCAGGGTAACTTTTAAAAGCAGAAACACTTGAGGAAAAGAATGGACTGAATCCGGTTAGTAGGATCGACGGACTTCACTTAAAAACCCAAACCATCCTATTAGGCTTTGTGGCTTTTTTTTCTCCACGATGGTGGCCTTTCCCCTGGATGGCATTTAATTCTCATGAATGGCCTAGCTGGGTGGGGAACTCTGGGAGCCAGAGGGCTACCCATTTTGAACAAATTAGTTTATGGCTGTAGAAACCATCCCAAGAGATTCTGGGAAGGTGTTTTTTTTTTTTTTTTTACAAGCTGGAAAAGGGAGAAAGGCGTGGTTTTGGGATCTACTAAGCTGTTTTGTCTCTTGCATTGCAAAGGTGTCCTTGAAAGCTCTGTTTGGGCCATAGTGTTTTTAAAACACTGGCAGGAAGTCATCTGATTGTAACATGAGGAACAAATTAACAGAGTTGGAAGGGACCTTGTAGGTCATTTAGTCCAACCCCCCACCTAAACAGGAGACCCCATACCTGTGATAGCGAACCTATGGCACGTGTGCCACAGGTGGCACACAGAGCCATTGGTGCGGGCACGCGAACCCCAGGCAAACTTACCTCATTGTGCATGCGCGCGCCTCCCAGCTGATTTTCGGGCCTTTTTCGGCCTGCCAAAGGGCTTGAGGGAAGCCTCTGCAGGCTTTGCAGGCCAAAAAATAGGCCCGTTTCATCACTTCCTGTATTTCCGGAAAGCCTGCAGCGGCTTCCTTCAAGCCTCTGGCAGCCCGAAAAAGGCCTCAAACAGGCTGAAAATCAGCTCTGGGAGGCACAGTGCAGGTAAGGGAGCAGCGAGCGGGGAATCGTGTACACATGCGCAGGGGGTGTTGGGGGGGGACCCCCAAAAGGTTAGCCACCACTGCCCTACACCATTCTGACAAAGTCTCTTCTTCTGTGCTCCTTCATAGAAATAAAGATGGAAACATATAGATCAGGGGTTCCGAAACTTGGGCACTTTAAGACTTGTGGCATAGCTGGCTGGAGAATTCTGGGAGTTGAAGTCCACAAGTCTTAAAGTAGCCAAGTTTGGAGGCCTCTGATATAGATGGTTATATGTCTGTGGAGATTCTCAGTCATCCAGGTCATGGTTGTCCCAAAAGTGCTTTTTTTTTTTCAAGAGGCAACTGGACTTTCTTTGTTTGTTTGTTTTCTTTGAATATATTTTGCTTCTTATCTGAGAAGCTTCTTCAGCTCTGACTGGATGGTGAGGAATGGAAGGATTTATCTTCCTTGCAGACAGCTGGTCATTTGCATCCTCTAGAGCAGGGGTCCCCAACCACTGGTCCGCGGACCGGTACCGGTCCGTGGAACAAGTCCTACTGGGGCGCTGGCTTGCTGGGCGCCGCCATCTTTTTTTGATGAAAAAGTGCTTCCGGTGAGCTTTTCCGGGTAGAAAGCTCACCGGAAGCACTTTTTCATCAAAAAAAGATGGCGGCACCCAGCTAATGCCGGTACCGGGCCGCGGCGTAAAAAAGGTTGGGGATCACTGCTCTAGAGAGTCGTTGAAGCACTTGGAGGTTGATCTGTGTCCTCAGGGTTGCCTGAGTTGTGCTAATGGCTCCTGTTGTAGTCTGCAATTCTCATCCAAGAAGACAAAACTTCTCAGCCAAGAAGACAAGGGAAACTTCTTCAAAGAAAAACTAGCAAGTCCAGTTGCCTCTTGAAAAAAAAAAAAAAAGCACCCTTGAGATATATGGTTATATTTTAGTCTGGAGAAATCCAGATAAACCCTGCGCTGAAATGGAGCAATAAATTAGAGAGCCGGGGTGGGTAATTAATTTTCCTAAGAGTCCAAATGAGAAACCGAGACTGTTGTGGAGGGCCGAACCAATAGGGTTGTGAAGGTGCGTAAATATGCATGGATACACATACATATTTTTTCTTAAATAGTTGCTTTTAAAACCAAAAGCAATCTACACAGGCCAGACAGGAACAACTGTTAGGAATGTAAGTCACCTAACAGTTGGGTTGGAAAATATATAAACCAGGATAGACATTTTAATACTGTCTCTTTAAGGGAATGCTAAAATTGTATTTGGTGTGGTTCCTCAAATGGCCATAAGATGGAGCCAGAAACCTGGGTGGTTCTGTTCTGTTGTTGCTGAGAGTGTTGCCGTTCCTGCATTTCCCTATTGACTGTTGCTGATCATCGTTATTCTTGGATTTGATGTGAGTCTTTTACTGAACTGTTTTTGATACTGGACTTTGTTATTGGATTATCCCTGGACTGAAAACTGACTGCTTTAACCATGAATGACTTGGACTGTTTGTTGGACTTTGCTTAAACGTTTATTGGAAGTAAAAACCTACATTTTACTATACAGTGTATCTGTGTGCTGGTTGTGTGTTATTCTTCACCACTCTCACTACGTCTCCCTGTGTGCACTCATTCTCCTAACGGGGAATTACATCAACACTGGTTATGGGCCCAGGCCAGACCAGGATAGTAACCCACAATTAAACAGTAAACAGCTGTCTGTATACAGTTACTGTGTATTCACACTAACTCTCAGTTATCTGAGCCTGGTATGGCCTGGATGGTGAAGAATAACACACAACCAGCACACAGATACACTGTATGATAAAATGTAGGTTTTACTCCCAATAAACATTTAAGCAAAGTCCAACAAACAGTCCAAGTCATTCATGGTTAAAGCAGTCAGTCTTCAGTCCAGGGATAATCCAAATATCAAAGTCCAGCATCAAAAACAGTTCAGTAAAAGACTCACATCAAATCCAAGAATAACGATGATCAGAAACAGTCAATAGGGAAATGCAGGAACGGCAACACTCTCAACAACAACCAAAGGGCCAGATGTGGTCCTTAGGGGGGGGAAATACAATGCCCAGGTTTGTGCCTAAGAGGGAGCAGGTTGATTCCACATGACCGCGTATCAGGCTCTCAGCAACCAGCCTGCATTTACAGCCAGGGGTGGTATTCTACTGGTTCAGATTGGTTCAGGCGATCCGGATGTTAAAGTTATAGCTGGTTAGCCGAACCGGTATTTCAACCGACCGGCTGGCCCATCCCCTCCGCCTGTCCCGGGAGTCTCCACGTGGCCTATTTTCGATGGAGGTAAGTGCAGGGTCCACACAAAGGCTCTGGGAGGGGGGAAAAGTGGGCCTTCCAGAAGACTGGAAACGGTCCTGTTTCGGCTTCCGGAGGGCCTTCAGAGCCCAGGGGAGACAATTTTCGCCTTCCCAGAGGCCCGGGGGAGCCCTGGGGACCCTTGTGAGGGCGAAAAACCAGCCTCCCGCGGGCTCTGGAGGCCCACCGGAAGCCGGAAACAGGAAGTTCCAGTAGGCCCTGCCCAACATGGCCTCACCCACCCAGCAACTAGGCAATGAACCAGTTGCTGGTATTTTGGAATCTCACCCATTTACTTTCAGCGTCTTGCTGTCATGTGGCCACATTTCGTGACAGCTTAGGGAGCCCTGGTGGCACGGTGGTTAAAATGCGGTATTCCAGGCTAACTCTGCCCACTGCCAGAAGTTCGATTCTCACCGGCTCAAGGCTGACTTAGCCTTCCATCCTTCTGAGGTCAGTAAAATGAGAACCCAGATTGTTTGGAGGGCGGGGGGAGAATAGGCTGACTCTTTAAACCGCTCAGAGAAGGCAATAAAGCATTACGGAGCAGTGTATAAGTCTAAGTCCTGTTACTCTTGAAACGGGCATTTACTTCTGATTTTTTTGCAAAACCGGGCCATCATGAACCATTGGTTCACTTAACGACTGGAACATTCACTTTAACCACCACTGCCCCAAAGTCGTATAATCAGGTCAGTCACACGGGTGACCTTTTTTCGACCATCACAACTTTCAGTCATGATGGGCAGGCTCCGTTACCATAAGTTTTAAGCGGAGGATTACTTCTCTTTCCTCTTTTCCTGCAGATAGCTTCCGATAAGATCATTCTGTCCTCTGGTTCCTGAGTTTGCCTTTGGAGAAGCTGACGATAGGGATGTAGAAAAAAAGCCCAGCAGCTGAAAGACGACAGCATCCAGCATCCAAAATCTTTTTATCCAGGAGAAAAAGAAAAGAAAGAAAGGGGGGGGGGGCTTACAGTCCTAAGGCCTCATGCAACATTTTTTAAAAACAAATTCAAAAAAAAAAATCGAGTGTTTTTCTTTCTCCTCCAGTATTTTTTTTAAAACAAATTTTATTGATTTTCAAAGACAATACACAAACAAACAAAACATAAAAACATAAAACATCTTTTCTGAAAGCTGCTTGATCCCGGGTTACATCTCTTCATACAGACACAAATTCAAATTCATGTTCATTTTATATACCATTCCATATCTTATTACCATTTTACATTCTCTATATAGCTTCTCCCCTCTTTTGACTTTCTTAGTTTTATTTTATTTATCTCATCTCAGTTCAGATCATTATGCTTATTATTGTTTGTCTGTTCTGTTTCCAGCTATCTATTTATCTTTTCTCTTTAAACAAAATTTCTCCTGTACACTAATTGGAGTAGGACACCTTTATCTCTTTCCCCTAAATTTATAACACTATAAACAATTCCATTGGGATTCTGTTTAGTACATTCTAAAGTTACACATTATATTTTAAAGAAAGAAAAAAATTATAAATATGTAATATAATTAAAACAACAATCCATACCAATTCAAATCTATCATTAATATTAATATTCATTTGAATCTTAAACATTTTACACATTACTTTTCAATTGAATATCATACTTTTATGGGAACACTTATAGACTTTCCATAATTATTTCCCCCCCACTTCACATATTTTAAAACATTGTATCATTAAAATGTTCCCATTCCTTCCTACTTCAACTCTTATTTATTTCATTGCCTTCCTTTTATTCACAAAAGTTTCACTAAATTACACTGAATATTTTATCCCACTGTTTAATCACATGTTGTTTCCAATTTTCTAACATTATTTCTAAGTACAAATATAACAATACAATCTTATGTACCTTTGCAGAATCCCTTTTTCAATTAAGTTTTTACCCATTATCTCTAAATGAATCTTGTTTCTTTACATCTTGCTCCACACCATTGAAACTTCTCCAGTATTAATGGCCATTTACTCATCCAATTTGAACAGCTCTGAAGGCAGAGGGAAATGTCTTTAACCAGATAAAAAAATACAATTTTATTATTGCCAGAAAGACCAGCAGCATACAAAAAAACTCCATTTTTTTTTCAGCATAAGGAAACTAAGATACTCCAAATTTTTGTTCAGGTCTCTGCAATCCCCAGATGTAGTCATTTCCATTTCCCAGCTTATGACCAGAGGTGGTATTCAGCAGGTTCTGACCAGTTCTGGAGAACCGGTAGTGGAAATTTTGAGTAGTTTGGAGAACCGGCAAATATCACCTCTAACTGGCCCTGCCCCCATCTATTCTCCGCCTCCCGAGTCCCAGCTGATCGGCTTGGTCTCCTTTTGTTGCCCTGCACAGGAGAACAGAGCTGGAAAGCAGGTTAGTGAGGTTGGGAAGGAATGGGGATTTTACAGTATCGTTCCCCTGCCATGCCCACCAAGTCACACCCACAGAACCGGTAAGTAAAAATTTTTGAATCCCACCACTGCTTATGACATACAGAATAAGCAAGGACACAAAATGTGCTTAGGAGTGCCCTAATTTTGACCTGGTAGCAGTTAAAGGACAACGTTTAGCCTTGCTCCCTGACAAATATAAAAACAATAGATCAGCAGAAAAATAGGAATGTGGAGAATATGACAACAAACCCACCCCTCCCGTTTTTGCTTTTCCTGTGCCATTCACACGGTGGCCTTAACTAATATATTAATGTTTTGAATTCTATGTTGATCTCTTTTTTTTAATTGAGGAATTCAGGAGCAGGTTTTATAACCAGGGATGCACTGATATATTTCCAACCAGAGATAAAAACTTTTTTAAAAGTTAAGAGAGGTCAGCTATTTAAGGTGCCATTGATAGCAAGGTTGTTACGAGCCTACAGTTGGAGCGAAGCTCGGAGAGTTTTTAATAATGAGTTTATTTAGTTAGTTCGTAACATTAAGGTTAAGGATGCATTTATGCCAGAGATGGTATTCAGACAGTTCTGACAGGTAGTGGAAATTTTGAGTAGTTCAGAGAACCGGCAAATGCCACCTCTGATTGGCCTCACCCCCATCTATTCTCTGCCCCAGCTGATTGGCTGGGTCTCCTTTTGTTGCCCTGCACAGGAGAACAGAGCTGGAAAGCAGGTTAGTGGAGTTGGGAGGGAATGGGGATTTTACAGTATCCTTCCCCTGGAGTAGGGTGGAAATGAGGATTTTACAGTATCTTTCTCTTGTCATGCCCACCAAGGCATGCCACAACCACCAAGCCACGTCCACACAACCAGTCGTAAAAAAATTTGAATCCCACCACTGATTTGCACTCTTTTCAAGCAAACAGCAGTGCCAAGGGCTGAATTTGCACATGCTGAAAAACAGATTGGTTTCTTAGCCTTTGTAAGCCGGGGGTGGCCAATCTTAGCGACTTTTAAGACCTCTGGACTTCAGCTCCCAGAATTCCCGATTCTTCCCTGGAACTGAAGTCCACAAGTCATAGAGTTTCCAAAGTTGGACACCTCTGCTTTAAGCTATAAAGAAGATAAACTACCTTGCACAGAGTGCTGGCTAGAGGAAGGGAGGGAGGGAGAAAGGAAGGGAAATTTGCAAAAAAATAAATGCAAGTAGATAACATCTGTCTAGCATAATCAGGATTCAGAATCCAGCTGTTTGTGCAGAATGTCATTGAATATAAAGATCTTGTGAGGTTCAAAAGTCAACAGCTATTCTGACCCCTATTATTTACACTCCCTCCTCCCCTCCCATTTTTGAACATCTTTCTGTTTTTCTTCCTTGCCTAAGGAGTATTGTCACATTTCACGCAGTCCGAATCTCCTGTTTGGTAACACCCTTGGAAATTTCTTCCTGTGCATTTCTTTCATAATCGTTCTCCAATTTAAGATAGAAATGAGAATGATCCTGCATTAAAAAGTATAAAGTGACCTTGGGCGTCGGGCGTGACTTCTACGGACTTTGCATTTTCTTGTCAAAATGAGGAAAGAGTTGGCAGTTGCCTTTTTTTCTGGGGGTCTTTCCCAGCCTTCAGCTCTGGCTCTCCTGGTGGCCTCCTGTCCAAATACTAACAAGACTCCGCCCTACTTAGCTTCTTGAGCCCAGACATTCAGCCAGGTCCTACCGCCTCTTGCATTTGTAGATATTTTTCTACAAAATATCAGTTCCAGAACTTCCTCATCCTCAGTGGAAGTGAGGGTGGGGGAGGTTGCATTTAAAAGAAGTGATTGTAGAAATGAAAAATCTCCCTTTTTGAATTTACCATGTCAGATGAGAATAAATGAAACATGAGCATTGGGGCTTGAGTTACTTTGCTATAGCAGACAAAGCGTTAACAATTTTTCCTCCCATTTGAAAAAGCTGAAATGGAATAATACAACTTAGCGACAGTTGCAATGAAGGCTAATGTTTTTGTGTATTGATTTATTGGCAACTCTAATGGAGGGGGGCATACATAACATAGGTGCACATTCATTTTAAGAAACTTTGGCAATTAATTTTAAAATGGGGAAAGTGATCTAATGAGCCCTTTTAACTGCTGCCTTTTTAGATGGTAGGGAATAGATCTTGAAAGTTCAACTAAAACTTAAAGCAAACTTTGTTTAAAGATTAACAGTTTACCATTTTACCATTCTGATCTCAATTCTTGCACTGTTAAGTGTCATTTTAATTACTATCAAGATTAGCATCACCAATCTGCTTTTACTTATTTCTAAGCAGCCAAAGCTGTTTTCCACGCCTTAAAAGATCAAAATGGAATCAAGAACAAAGGGTTTCCAGACTTCCCATTTTAATGGCAATATTTTAAAAAGGGTAATAATAACATTGAAAAGGTTATAGTATCTTTCCTCTTTCACATCCCAGTCTGCAAATGGCACAACCGCTAATACAATTGGATTTCTAACTAAAGTGCATTCAAAGAAGTAGAAATAACTAACACGGAAGGTGCCTTTAAAGCACATCAGTCTCTGTGAATGTTCTCTTGAGATCATCCACCTCAACCCCCTGCTCGATGTAGGCTCTACTATAACATCTTTGACAGGTGATTAGATAGCTTTGAATTCATCTTTTAGAGGAGCACTCACCACTTCATGGAGCAGTCAGTTCCCCTGACTCAAACTATTGGAAAATTCCTCTTGGTATCTAGTTTGAATTTCCTTCCTTGCAATTTTAACCTCTTGGTTATAGTCCTCGCCAAAGTACAAGCTAATTATTCCCCTCCTTTTTCTGTATAACAACTCTGCACGCATCTAAAGATCCCCATGTCTCTCCTAGCTTCACTGGGTGGCCTCTTTTCCTCCATTGCTTACAAGGCTGATCCAGGTCTCCGAACGGGATTAGCTTGAAGCATTGGAGGATACAGTATATAGCCTGTTACAGGTAGGCCTCGACTTATGACTACAATTGAGACCCTGACCTGCACTGCGCCTCCCAGCAGATTTTCAGCCTGTTTGAGGCCTTTTTCATCCTGCCAGAGGCTTGAGGGAAGCCTCTGCAGGATTTGCAGGCCGAAAAATGGGCCCGTTTTATCACTTCCGGTATTTCCGGAAATACAGGAAGTGATGAAAACAGGCTTATTTTTCAGCCTGCAGAGGCTTCCCTCAAGCCTCTGGCAGGACAAAAAAGGCTCAAAAATCACGTGCTCAATGAGGTAAGTTTGCCTGGGGCTCACATGCCATAGGTTCGCCATAACAGACCTATACTTTAACCACTGCGCTAAACTGGGTCTCAGCTTAAATAAATAAGTCATATTATTAAAAGATAGATTTTGCTTTTAGAGCATTTTGATTGCTTTTATTTGGTTGCTCTTTGAAGATGAACATTCTACTGAAGGGCCTGGTGGGAAGAAAGGCGTTCTGGAAATACTTTTTGATATTAAGAAACTAGGCCTCATGAGGTAACCTTGACTCCATCCTCAGTGGTTGTCCTCAGCCTAGTCTTCCATGATTACAACAAACCCTCCCCATTTTGAAATTTTCTCCAGAAGGAGCATCCCCTTGAAAAGGCCGATACTAATAAGCTTTAGCGGAAATAGCCCAAAATAATACAGAAGACAGCAAGGCCACATTCCCCCCCAATTTTATTGGATATTTTCAAAACTTGAGAGAGGGAAAAAAACAATCCAAGAATGATCCTGCATTTAAAAAAATAACATGTCAAAATAACCTTCCATACTGCAAAGATATAGAGTACTATGTCCTTTTGGATGAATCTTGCTAAAGAGATGATGACACCTCAGAAACTACTTTTCCTTAGACTGTTCAGACGTGTGAAAGGATGTTGGTCTGAGGATCCTGGCTTTCAAACTTTTTGCCTCCGAGTAAACTATTTTCACGGAGAAAAGTCTGAGCAGTTTCTCAACTTCCTCAAGTTTAAGACGTGTGAAGTGCAACTCCCAGAATTCTCCAGCCAGCCATGGCTGGCTGGGGAATTCTGGGAGTTGCAGTCCATACGTCTTAAATTTGCCGAGGTTGAAAAATAGTGCTTCAGAGTATCTTGTTGTGGCCCACCAGTGGCCAGCGGAGCTGGCAGCACATTCAGACAATGAGGTTGGGGAGGAACATGGGTCAGTCCTGGAGTCTGGAGAAGGCTCTGCATCACGAGGCAGGCCAGGACCATCTGACAGTTATCAGCTGCCTTTGGAGTCGGACATCAGTGAGGCAGAAGAACAGCTGGAGTCTGTTCCCAGTGTGCACATGTGCAGACCTGCCAGAAGAAGGGAACAGCTGAGGAACAACGGCCGACTTGGGAGTAAAGCCACAGGTAGATGGTGAATGGGCCCTCCCATAGGGAATAAAAGAGGAACGAAAGGGGAGTGGGGTTTTGCAGGAGACAATTAATTTGGGTGAAAATCTGTTCCTGCGTTCTTGCTAATTATTGTCTGCTACAGCAGTGGTCCCCAACCTTTTTTGTACCACGGCCCAGTACAAAATGATCCACAGACCGGTACCAGCATCAGCACGCACGACCAAGGCAAGGCGAGCCAAGCGACGGCCAGCCAGCCATCCCCTGCTTCTCCCCGCCACCTTCAACTCTTCCTTTGTACCTTCTCGCGGTCGATGGGCTTTTCAGGCTTTTTCTTAATCTCCTCCTGAGTAACGTGAGACTCCACCGCCATCAGGACGGCTCTTCGTTCGAAGCCACCACCCCTCTTCGACGAAACTAAGGCACGAGGATTCCTTCAGCACCCAAATGCCGCTTTCCAACCGACGACCGACAAGCTCACCCGGAAGCACTTTCTCAAGCGCCGTCAAAACAAGATGGCGGCGCCCAAGCAAAATAGGCGGCCCGGTACAAAATGATCCACGGACCGGTACCGGTCCAGGGCCTGGTGGTTGGGGACCACTGTGCTACAGTGTGGCATGTGAAAGATATCGGCCTGGCAGCTCTCCAAGCCTGATAAAGGTCTGTAATAGTGAAATATCTTGAAAAAGACTGTTAGCTGGCACCTTGCTGGAAAGGAAATTCACTGTAAACTAAGAGGTTTATCGGGATGAGGCGTCGGCTTCGTGCTGTTGGGTAAGCCTAGGTCGGAACATAGCTCTTGAAGAAGTGATAGGTGCCGCAAAGGATTTGGGGGAAATGACCCGCTGCGGAAGATATGTCATTAGCATGCACCAATTCCCTGCTAGACCACCAGGGTCTCATCTAGGATCCTTCCAGAAGGGGATGCTCCTTGGGGGTAGCAAGAAAACCAGGTCTTTTGTGGCCTCAACCAGCTCAGGCTGCAGATAGGAACTGACAGGACAAAACACACTAGCTCCTATGCGTAGAAAGCAGGGGTGTCAGGGAGAAGGCAGAGCGAAGGATGTCACCAAATTATAAAAAAAAAGATGTTGAGACTCTGGAAAGAGCGCAGCAAAGAGCAACAAAGATGGTTAGAGGGCTGGAGGCTAAAACGTATGAAAAACAGTTGCTGGAATTGGGTATGGACAGCCCTAGAGAGTCCTCCTTCTTAGAGAAAAGGACTAGGAGTGACATGATGGCAGGCTGGGGAATTCTGGGAGTTGAAGTCCACAAGTTGTAAAAGTTGTCAAGTTTGGGGACCCCCGATTTAAAGCAATAAAACGGGTGTCCAACCTTGGCAGCTTTTTAAAACTTGTGGACTTCAACTCCCAGAATTCCCACTGCGGGATGGGGAATTCTGGGAGCTGAAGTCCAACAGGCCTTAAAAGTTGCCAAGGTTGGACATCCCTGCAATAAGAGAGCGCTGAATTCAGGAAAGTACCACTCCGGGTGGCTTCCTTGGGCAAACATCCTTTTCCTCAAATGCTGGTGTTCCCCATGGAACCCCATTACCCCCCCCCCCCCACCCCCCCTCTTGTTTTAAAGGCTAAAGGGAGGCCATTTGCAGCTTTGGAAAAGGTGAACCCCTGTTTAGGCAGTTCAGGCCACTAAAATGCAACTTCCTCCCTCTGGCACCAATGGAAATCAGCCCCCCCACCGTTTCCCCCCCGTGGGTTTGAGAACAGGCGACCGGCATTTCTCTTGGATGGCAGGGCAAACATTGGAGTTCGGATGCCTCAAGGGGATGGCCGTGCTACAGAAGCAAAAGGGCAGCCTCGGACGTCTTATTTATTTGCACATATGAACGTGGTCACCCCAGCCATGTTGCAGGTGGCTAACTAAAGAGCACTAAGAGCAAGAAATTGGATACAACCCTGAGATGCAGGTGGAATTGTGGTTTGGGCTCCTTGATCATCCCCCAATTTAACTGCTTCCTGTGCTAAGCAGGACTTTACCTGCACTGCCAAAAGTCATTTCAGATCAGACAATTATGGGCCTCACCATAAACTCCAGCTCCATTTTAAATCTTTCTACCCAGCCCATTGAGGACAAAGTGAGTTTTTTTTTAAATGAACACACAAACAAAAAAACAGACGAGGAAAGCGTTGTTTTTTTGCCTTACAGGAGGTGTAAAATACTATATCCAGAATCAAGGCAATAGAATGGTTTTAATGTTCAGTTTACTGGATTATTATTATTATTTGAAATGGAGGGAAAAAATCCTAATTTCTCAGCAAAAGCAGCGTAAAAAACAAGGCTGGGAACTCTTTACATTAGAAAATATAAAGCTATCCGGACAGAAACAGCCATTTATTTCAAGATGCCCTTCCCCGCTGTAGAATCAAACAACGGTACACATTAAAAAAAAAAAAAAGTATTGGAAAAAAAACAAACAGCCCAACGCAACTGAGACTTGGGTTCAGAAGGTGAAATGTTTTCAGAAATCCAGCCTGATTCAAGGATCTCCCAGAAATGTTGGGAGATTACTCCAGAGGTTACAAGGATCTGCCCGTGAAGTCAGAACCAACACTTTTTGGAGGTCGGGATGGGACCCCTTTCTAAGCTCCAGAATGCTTTGACTTGAAAAAGTTTGGCACACCTCGAATCCTCAGCCTCACTTGCTGCCCTCCCGTCTGCAAAATGGGTATAAAAGGAATCTTACTCGAAGCAGCAGCTCGGTAAACACTGTACTTCCACCCACCCACCCACCCACACCCCCTCCCCATTTTAAGTTTACAAGCCTGTGTTTTGATTGTTGGAACCAACTTGGTTCTTCAATATTCTTAGTCAGTATGTGTGTGTGTGTGTGTATGTATATATACCTATATACAATAAATACAATAAATAAATTGCAACTGAGAAATGGGAAGACGAATAGCACCTCTTAACGGTCATTTGAAGAGCTTGCGATTTTCACTTCCTTTTAATTACCGGAGAAGTAAAATGACCTTGAGAGTATCTGTTTTTAAGTGACTATGTAAACGTGGGTTGATTATTCCTATTTTGCAGATGGGCAGATGCAACTTACTTGCCCCAAAGCTGCACTCCTAATCCACCTCCAACAGATCAAGCGCTCTGCGGCTTTCTCTCTTTTACAATCTGCCATCCCGGGGGACTCAGAAGCCCGCAGCAACCCTTCCTATGGGCCTGAAGCTTTGCCTCAGGCTTCCTTGCATAGATTAAGATGGGAGGTCCGCCTAACACGCTAAAGGCAGGGAGACATGGTGGAATTTGCCAAGCTGGCAACAGGAAATGAAATTGCCCTAAGAAAAAAACAAACGAGATATATATATATATCTCTTTATATCTTTATATATATATATATATATATATAAAGTTATGGGTCCTCAGTCCCATGTCTTCCTTTTGGTGCCCCTGCTGGGCCTGGCCTCAAGGCCACAGGAAGTGGCATCAGAGGTGGAAGGCTTTGGGGAATCGGGCGCAGCAGCCTCGCTTGGTCCAGCGGTGGGAGACGGCTCCGGGACTGGGTCACCGCTGCCCCCAGGCAGGGCTACCGGAGGCACTGGGCAGGGAATGACTGGACCGGCGACCGGCTCGGAAGGCATGCCAGGGACGTGGCTGGACGGTACTGGAGCTCCAGGCTCTGGGGGACCCCAGGGCGGGTTGCCATACCCTGAGTAAGAGCTGGGATTGGTGTAGGTGCTCTGGGCGGGCGACTTCTGGCCCGTAAAGACCTCCGCGATGGCAGCCATGGCGGAGGTCTGCCTTCCCAGGAATTCCCCCAGGTCACTGTGGGAGCGTTTGATGGCGTCGACCATCAGCTGCGCCGTGGCTCGATCCTGCCGCCGTTCCTGCTTGCGGTGCTGCCTCTCCTCCTGCCTGGCCCTGTCAAAGGCCTTCAGGTCGTGACAGTGCAGGCCCCGCATGGCATCCAACAGCATGGAGGGGGCCCGGGAGGCCGACTCCACCAGCTGCATGCTGGTCTCCAAGCGCTGCTTCCGGTTCCTCATCCTCCGATTCCTCATCCGCTCGGCGTTGGTGAGGGGCCTCCGGAACTCCTGGATGGGACCTGAGGAGGGCAGGATTGGGATGGAGGTGGGGGGAGATGTAGAAGGGTGTCCAAGGAGAGGGGAAAAAAATAAGATTTTTGCTGGAGACCTGAGATTTACAACTGTGAAAATTGTTCCTCACTTACCCCCCACCTTAAAAAAAGGGGGTTTTAAAAATTGCAATTTTGGCTTGTCTAGTGTTGTGGCCCGTCGGCGGCTAGCGGAGTGTGATGACCCAGGGCATGGCATAAAGGCAACACAGTCAAATAATCAATAAGAATCCCCTTGTTATCTCCAACTTTGCCCCCAGTGTCCATGATTACCTTCTGGCTGGAGAGAAACTCTCCCGGGAACAGCCTTTGACTGCAGAAAATTAAGTCCAAAACATGAGCAACACAAACTGTAACTCAAACTCCAAACAAGCCAAACTGAAGTAATTAGTTTGGCAGGGCAGGAGCATGAATTTCAGACTTGAAAGCACTGCAAAATTCACACAGTTGGGAAGATGCCAGGAACAGAGATAAGTCACAACAATGCAAGATAAAGTCACGTTTGCTCCCAACAGCTCGCTGCATGCAGCTTGCCTTTTTTAGACACTGTTTTCCCAACTGTGGCTAATGAAGGGAATCAGGGCTCTTTCCTCCCCTGTAAGGCACGCAACCCATGTTGCTCCCTTCTCCGTTCTTCCCTGCGTAGTCCTTAACTTAACGGCTGCAGTGGAGCCCAAAATTAAAGGTTGCTGAGTGAAACATTTGTTAAGTGAGTTGGTCTCATTTTACAACTTGGCTCGGTGGTTAAGTCAATCACTGCAGTTGTTAAAATTAGTCAAACTGTCGTTCAATGAAAGCTGGCTTCCCCATGGACTCTGTTTGTCAAGAAAGTCACTAAAGGGAATTGCATGCAACCGTCATAAATATGAGTCAGTTGCCAAATATCTGAATTTGACCATGGGGATGCTACAACAGTCATTAAATGTGAAAACCGGTCAGAAGTCTTTTTTTTTAGTACTATTATAATTTTGAATGATTAAATGGAACCGTTGTAAGTCGAGGACTACCTGCAATGGTTTCTTCTCTTTGCAGCCAAGATAGAAAATCACTTCTTAAAAAGCTAATTTTTAAAGACTGATTGAAAAACAGATCCGTTCAAAGACCCCAAAAAGATTGATTTCCCTGTTTTAGACACTCTTGCTGTCCTTTGGAAAGATGGAGCTCCAACCCCCATGTTCCTCAGCCGGCGCCGATCTGCTGAGGGAAGTGATGGGAAGTGGAGTCCCACCAGTAGAGGGAGCTGTAGCTCCCCCTGGAAGATCAGCTTACCGTAAGGGCGGAGGGTGGCGCCGTCGTCGGACGCCGACTTCCTGCCGAGCATCCTCTGCCGAGCATCCGCTGGCACTCGCTCCGTCACAATGGGGTGTGGGGCTGGCTGTCCGACGGCAGGGTACTGAGACTGGGGAGCTAAGGGTGGGTACTGCATGGGCAGTGCCACCGCGGGGTAATGGACCTGCTGTGACATGGCAGAATACTGGGCAGGTGGTGGCCGGGTAGGGTTCAACATCAAGTCCTCGAAGGACCACATCACCTGAAAATGGCAACAGGGAAGTTAATTCAGGCTTGTTTCTATCTGGGGGGAAATGCTCTGAGGCAGGGGGTAGGGAAACTTGGCTTTTCTATCACTTATGGACTTCCAACTCCCAGAATTCCTGAGTGAGCCAAAAGAGGTTCCCCATCCCTGGCCTACCGGTTTTTCAGTTGTGGGGGAAATCAATTTTTTGACTTGAACGGGACTGTTTAATATACAAATTTAGGACAAAATTGATTTCCCTCACAACTGAAAAACCAGCAGGCCAGGGATGGGGAACCTTTTATGGCTCACTCAGGAATTCTGGGAGTTGAAGTCCATAAGTGATAGAAAAGCCAAGTTTCCCTACCCCCTGCTCTGAGGGAACTGGGTTGTGTGTATCAATCAATCAGAATAGAGCTGGAAGGGACCTTGGAGATCATCTAGTCCAGCCCCATGCCCAAGCAGGAGACCTGGCCTATACCAATTCAGGTAAGTGTCTGTCGAGTCTCTTTTTAAACACCTCCAGGGATGAAGCAGCCACAGCCTCTGAAGGTAAAGCTTTTTCCATTGGTGGATTGTCCTCACTGTGAGGAAGTTTCTCCTTGGTTCTAGAATGGATGATCTTTGTGGTTAAGTTTCCCTCCGTTACTTCTATTCTTGCCTTCTGACGCTTTGGAAAACAGAATCAGAATTGAGCTGGAAGGGACCTTCTTCTAATCCAACCCCCTGCTCAAGCAAGAGACTGGACCCCTGCACCCATCATCGCATCACATGCCCCAATCACCATCCGTCCCAACTTTGAGCCGTCCCCTCACCCAGGTGCAGGAATAACATGACCTTGACTGAGAAAAAGAATGCTATTATGTCTAACCACAACCACTCCAAGAACTTCCCCCCTCCCATTTTCCCAGGCTGAAGAATGTGGCAGCGTGGAAGCATCTGGTGTCAATATGGCTTCCAAAGCTGACACACACACACCCCTCTGATCCATGGAAAACTCTCTCCACGGAAGCGGTCCCTGGCGCCCAAAAGGTTTTGGGGGGGGGGGGGGGCTCTGTTTTAGATCTCCCTGTAATCTAGCCAAGGAACAAGGATGGTTTATGAGCAGTTGGACAATATGTCCATATTGGTTACCTGTGGCTCTTTCCTTTGGGTCTCTCTCTGCCGCGCCAGGAACTCTTCTGAAAAGGCCACTGCTTGGCTGCAGGTCTCCGGCCTCCGTTCCCGGACCCAGCTCTGCATCTCCTGGGGAAGGATGGTCAAAAATTGCTCCAGGATCAGCAGCTCCAGGATCTGCTCCTTGGTGTGCCTCTCCGGCCGGAGCCACTCGTGGCAAAGCTCCTGCAGCTGCCTGCAGGCTTCGCGGGGTCCCTCGGCCTCTCGGTAGCGATGCCGCCGGAAACGCTGGCGCAGGATCTCCACGCCGACCGTCCCTTCGTTCGGAGGCTCCTCCTTGAGGCCCCCGTGGCTCCTCCGTTCTCGCTGCTCCTGGACGCTGTAGACCGTTTGAGTCCCCCTGCTCAGGCTGGCCAGAGTCTGGCCTCCCCATCCTCCCGAGGGCCAGGGGCTCGAATTGCCCGGAGTCTCGTATGGGGCCTGGAAAGAGCTATTGTCCCACGTCGGGGGCTTGGGTAGAGCTGGGTTTCTCCACCCCGATGGAGAAAACTCCTGCCTGGGGGGAGCCCAGTGATGGGGCGGGAGAAGTTCATCCGGCTCCTGTTTGACGTGGCGTGAGGACTCTCCAGATAAGAACTCCCGCGTGGAGCCGATCTGAAGGAAGCGCGAGACCCCTCCTCGACCCATCTCTTGCGTGGCCCTGTCCTCCATCTTCATGGCCGGCCGTGGGCTCGGCTCGGCAGCCCCCTGCAGCTGGAGGTGAAGGGCAGCTGTTTCCCCTCTCCCCGACGCCATTTTGTCCCCCGCCGCGAGGGAGGCCTCCGTCTCACCTCGGGACGAGCGAGGTGAGGCCCTGGGGCCCTGGCAGGAAGGATGGCTGGCCCTGCCCGGCAGCCAGCGGGGAGTGCAGTGAGAACTGCAGGGCACGGAGAAGATTTTGCCTATGGGTTCCTTCTGGAAGGGAGGGGAGGGAGAGCAGCTCAGGCTCACCCACCCCCTCCACTCTCTCAGAGCAGGAAAAGCAGTCAGACCCCCAAACTCGAAGGCCTGCCTTTCGGCCTTGCCCCTTGCCTTACAACAGAAGCAGCCAGGGCATCCACGGCTGGGTCCAAACAGGCGGCATTGTTCCCAGACAAGATCTCGTGATCATCTTGAGAAGTAGCGGTGGCCTGGGGGTGATTTCTGGCTTTCTATTAAAAAAAAACCTAAAGAAGACATAAAATGTTGGAGAAAAGGCTTTTATCACTACAGGATTTATTTCAGCTGCTTCCATCCCACTGTTCTGGAAAAAGATAAGATACGAGGGTTGTTTACTCCTCTGGACTCTTTTTTTTTAAAATTTTGTTTTTCAATAAACTTTATTGAATACAAAAAATTAATAGACAAATCTACAAACTCAAAAGACAAAGATTCACACAAACAAACGTCACAATAATCTCTGTGCTGTAACTAATTAAACTTTCCTTTAGCACATTTGACAGTGAGTTAAACATTTCCTAAATTATATTATGTGGCAGTTATACCTTGTTTCCTATAGGTTCCCTATTATTTATATTCTATCAGACATAATGTTCTGTTATTAAATGTTTATTGTTGGATGATACTTATTTATTTTTACCGATGAATTCCTTCTATCGATTGTTTAAAGAACGAGGGAATCTAAGACTAACATTAACAATTCCTGCCTGGACTCTTTTGAGGGGTGAAATGTTCAGCAGGAACCAATTAAAGCAGATGCAACTTTTAGTATGTTTTGCGTGGTGGCCCCATGCAACTATTTCCCTGATCTCAGGGAAGATATAACAGAGTTGGAAGGGACATTTGGGAGCCAACTAGTCCAACCCAACCCCCAAGACCCTATACCCGTGTTGGCGACCCTATGGCACACGTGCCAGACGTGGCAAGCAGAGTCATTTCCCCGGGCACGCGAGAGGTCACCGGAGGACTCCCACTGCACATGCGTGTACGCGCCGCCACCCGACAGCTGATTGTTGGGTATCTTGGCGCGCATGCGCAGGGGGTACGTGGGAGATGTGTGCGCATGCACAGGGGGCAAGGGTGGGGGGGCAGCACGCATTGCCTTCTGGGTACTGGCAATGCAAGCCGAAAAAGGTTAGCCACCACTGCCCTATACTATTCCAGACAAATGACAGTCCAGTTTTTAAAAAAATTAAAAATACTGATTGAAACTAATGTTTGGTTTAAAATAGTATTTTTCAACTCCATCTTCGCTACAGAATTAACAGAGGGAAAAGAATCGAGATCCCATGAAGTGTCGATGCCACTTTATAAATGCCTTGTTAGTAAGGCCACATTTGGAATACTGCATCCAGTTTTGGTCACGACGTAAAAAAGATGTTGAGATTCTAGAAAGAGTGCAGAGAAAAGCAACGAAGATCATTAGGGGACTGGAGGCAAAACTTATAAAGAACAGTTGCGGGAACTGGGTATGTCTAGTTTGATGAAAAGAAGGACTAGGGGTGACATGATAGCAGTCTTCCAATATCTCAGGGGCTGCCACAAAGAAGAGGGAGTCAAGCTATTCTACAAAGCACCTGAAGGCAGGACAAGAAGCAATGGGTGGAAACTAATCCAGGAGAGAAGCAACCTAGAACTAAGGAGAAATTTTCTTACAGTGAGAACAATCAATCAATGAAACAGCTTGCCTCCAGAAGTTGTGAATGCTCCAACACTGAGAGTTTTGAAGAAGAGATTGAACAACCATTAGTGGCAACTACTAAAACAGGCATAGGAAACAGAGTCACAGGTGACTGTAAATTACTTATGTCAGAGTTGGCTTCATACAGGGTAGTGCCAGCATGTTGCCTCTAATAAATCCTTTGAAGTTTGGCTCAAGAATCATGATTTAATTAGAGCGATTGCTGGAATCCTGACAATTAGTCTGAAATGCTATAGTTTCCTGCCTGAGCAACGGGTTGGACTAGAAGACCCCAAAGGTCCCTTCCAACTGTTATCCTATTCCATTCTATTCCATTCCATTCCATTCTCCTCTACTCCATTCCATTCCATTCTCCTCTACATTCTATTCTATTCTCCTCTACATTTTATTCTGTTCTATTCTATTCTATTCTATTTCTATTTCTACTTCTATTCTATTCTATTCTATTCTATTCTATTCTATTCTATTCTATTCTATTCTATTCTATTCTCCTCTCCTCTACATTCTGTTCTATTCTCCTCTACATTCTATTCTATTCTATTCTATTCTATTCTATTCTATTCTCCTCTACATTCTATTCTATTCTCTACATTCTATTCTATTCTATTCTCTACATTCTATTCTATTCCATTCTATTCTCCTCTACATTCTATTCTATTCTCTTCTCCTCTACATTCTATTCTATTCTATTCTATTCTATTCTATTCTATTCTATTCTAT